GGCAACAATAAAGGGATCAATAGTGACATTGCACGATAAGGTGGTTATGAGACACCCTGTCAAATGCTTTTGAGAAGTCTAGGAATATACAGTGGTGAAACTGACAAGAGGTGACTTGGAGCAGCTCTTGTAACAGGAAAAAATCGGTTTTGGAGCAGACAATTTTGAGCTTTCATGTCAGAAAGTTTCATACAATCTCTTCGAAAGTTAGCCCATAGAAAAGACTGTAGCTGTTGGAGCATTGGGAGACTGAAGTGTTATGCCCACGGAGGACCTGGCCTGTACAGATATTTATTTATTTATTTATTGAACAGTCATACACCAGCAATTTCGTAGAAGTCTCAATTAACCTATTATTAGTACCGATGGCATCTTCAGTCTGTGTTTAACGTAAAAAGATATTTTCGGCTACTTTGTAGCGGGTTTTATTACAGTGACGTAATTGTCACAAATTTAACATCAAACGGACACTTATGGCTGAAAGTGCCTCACATTGCCCTCCCTCGTATTCAACTTGCTGCTGTTCCTAGAACAGCTAAGCGGAGCACATAGCTACTCTAACCGATCACGAGTAGCGGTAGCTATTCATTGCAATCGATGTGAGCACCGTTCGCAAAAAAAAAGAAAAAGACGACAACTCTTCATTTGGCATGAGCAAAAATAGATTTTGGGTTTCAAGCAAATTCAAAGTGAATAGTAATAGTTCTTTCGGTCGAATATTTTTTAATTGAATATTGAAGACTTTTTGCACCTTTCTCCATGACTTTTACTACTGTTCCACCACGCTTAAACAAAAATTCAGCTGGACTCACGAAGGTTGTTCCTAATTGCCCACTTATGAGTAGTTAAATTTAATCTAGCTATATTTATAGACTGTAGCCTCAGAACGTCCAGTACCTACAGTAAGATGGCAAGTAAATGACAAATTTGACATAAAACTAAGCCTATAAAGGAGCCTAGCCATACATAATTGAGGGGATTTTTAAAATTTTCTGCCTATATAAAAATATTTTTGTTGATTCTGAATTTAAAAAAAGCACAAACAATAAACAGAGGTTTTTTGAACATTGCTGCCTACAGCCTGTTGTAACTCAAGAAGGTAGGGTGAGGGTAAGACGGGCCAGGAAAGAGGAAGCAGACGGAATGCTGGAGAAGAGAGGGGGAAATCTCTCTTAAGTGTTCCGTCTGCTTCCTCTGCCCCGGCCCGTCTTACCTTCACCCTACCTTCTTGACTTGCAAGGGACTCTAACATATACCCTTGAATACTAGTCACAGTTAAATTTTGAAGATTTTACTGCAATGTAATAATATTATAATAACGATCCCAAAACTTTTATGTTTTTTTTTTTCTTTTAATATACATTAGGCCTGCACGTGCACCATACTAGTTTGAAGATGTGCTTTTCGCATAAGCGCGCGAATGAGCTGCGGCGAAGTCGGTAGCGAGATCACTGTGTCAGCTTCATGGGTATTGCTTCTCCGCAGTGCAACTGTGTTTGAGGAGAAGCGCACTCAAGGGGGCTAACCCACCGCAATCAACCGGCGGACACTTCAAGCGACTTCCGTTTAGCTATTTGAGCGCCATCTCTTATCCGTTGGTATTCTATTAAGTCTTTCCGGTTTACGCCAGAAAGTTTATTTAATAGGATGAGATACATATTATTGTTGCTGCTTACAGATTTCAAAAATTATCCTGGTAAGATGAAACAAATATTTTGGTTAGCTAAAGTTTCGCCCTCATACTTTGCTCTCATTGGCCGGTTGTTTTTTGTATTTTGACCGTTGAGAACAGTTGCGCGTCGGCTGCCGCGCTCGCGGATGTCGGCTGCTCGAGGGAGCCTGTGCCAACGGTGCGGTGGTGGTTTTCGTTTGCGGCAGCGGGCAGTGGCGTTGACCTATTGGTTATCGGTCTATTTCTTCTACCAAAACACGGAAAACGAAACCTTGTCTATTGCTCGACTCAGTGGTGCTCTAATTCCAGTGGCAACATCTCTGCCAAGTTCTTTGGGTTCCTGATCGAGTGACGAAAGGTAAAGACGGGCTGCTATACTTTTGGTTATACAGTTTCGGATTGCCGAAAATTTGCTGGTGCATGTTTCTTTATGGTAGAGTTATTGTAGAAGGTCACAAGGGATAGCGCATGTATCTTAAAATGAGCGGTGTGGGCGGTATCGGTGTTAGAGCACCGCAGCTCGTGCGTGGAGCAGCTCGCTGCAGAAGGAACCTGCGAGATACCACGGCGATCGAATCACTGTCGCTAAGTGCCGCTAAGTTAAATGTGTTATTGCTGGTCTGTGAATACTTGAATAGTAGTTTCGTGTAGATTTTGTTACTTTGTTGTGCCGTGCAGTGAACGTTTTTTTTTTCTGTATAAAGAGCGTGTCTAATAAAAAGAGAACTTGCAAAAGAAGTTTGGACTTGTGCTCAGATTGGCGATGAGCGCCCATCTTAAGCCGCTAAACAGCAGCGGCTGGGCGTACTTTGCATTCATTGAGTGACGATTTTATGAGAACTGGCTGTCACTGAACATGCACTGTTGCCAAGCTGATATCAATCGAGCGACGCTAAGTCAAGTGCAATCGTTTCGGAGCGTCGGACATTCGCAAAAAAAAAAAAAGGTAAACACATTGTATTGTAGAAGAACGAGACGGCGGCAATGGGAGCAGTTCCCTCTTCTCTCAACATCAGCGACAATAGGATGCAAATTCGTTCGGAGTTCGGAGGCTGCTCCAAACTCCGAACGAACTCGCATCCTTTTGTCGCCGAGGGTGAGAGAGAGGGAGAGGAGGGACCACACTTCTCACACCCTCTCCCATAACCAAGCAATTGCCATGACGACGGCGCGCGTATTGTTTTGTCTATTTTTTATTGCTGTTGGAGAAACCCAACGCCCGTTAGGGGAGATTTGGCGCTGCCGTCTGCAATTGGAGTCCCAATGGGAGGTATAGGAAGAGTCCGCCGGTTGCCGCAATCAACACTTCGAAATGTATGAATATTGCAGTTAATTTTTTTAAGCGAATATCACCATATTATTTCAAACTACTATTAGAAAATTAAAATATTCGCGTAGCTCTATTCTTCGCACATACTACTTAGGCATCAAGAAAAAAAAACTACTGTCTTTACTTTCAGTGGCATCGCTTGTCCCGTGCCAGACACTTTCAGTTTCCTTTTCGAGAACTGCTCCCTTTCGGCGCAGACATGACGCAAATTGCGCGCAAATACAGCCTTTAGAGCAGCATGTAGCAGGTTATTTATTCTGGCACAGTTTGGCGCAATTAGCGCAGCAGTTTTACCACTGAATATAGCAACGTTTTGTTGTTTACGTTGCAAATTTAATTGAATGTCGTATAAATCACAAAAGTTGTATTTTGCATGATAATGTCTTTCTAAATCTGTGCTTATTTTTGTTTAGGAGCATATTAGGCTCAGTGTATCTAATGATGTTTGAAGATATTATGCTGAGTGATATACAACAATAGTGAGGTGAATTTCTATCTCCGAACCTATGTACCTACTTTTTGTATAACATGTATTAAGTTATGTTAACCGTTTAGTTAAAGCGTTTTCTGGATATATTTATTACCCTGATTGTTTTTCCTGCATCTCCGTCACCATCTGCCAAGCTCTCGGGGCCCGGACCTAGTAAGCCAACAAAGATTGGCTTTTTTGTCCGTGGTTTCGACATCTGTACTTGCAGATGCAATAAATGATTTGATTTAATGTACAGGGATTACATGGCTGATTTTTAAAAAGGCCCTGGAAGGACTTTTGTACTGGTTTTTAATTTGCACCGAACCTGAGTGCACTGAACGTCGTATCTTAATGAAACTGTTCTTTTCACGAATTTTACTTTATTTTAAAAGATATAGGCAAATTAAAAAAACAAAAACAAGCACAAAAACCCTCTTTCATGACGTCCTCGTCGCTTGAGTGGTCGTGACCTAGAGCAGGGTTAGTGAGCTCAACAAGCACACACGGCTGCCGCACTCCGTGTCGACGGCTCCAGAGGGCGCCACTAAAGCATGTTCCGGCTAGGCTGTATGAAGCGGGCGGCCAGGGTGGCTCGCACTGCACTTGCTGCACGATTAAACACTGATTCGGCATGACACTTCATTGGCCACCAACGACAGCAAACACGAGTTAAAAATCAGTTAAGAAAGGCAGCCACTTCGCGCTACCATACCACCAAACGGCCAAATCGCAAGCCAAATCTGCTCGCCAAAGGCCTTCGAAACACTCAAAACCAGTCGGATCCTCGAGCCCGTATACGACCGCAGCGCCGCCACGTACATCGGAGACCTTTCTACACTCGCCGCTCATCGGTGCCTGACCCCACTACCCCTGTAGTATGCGCCGCCTTTTCCACCGATTGGTGGTGGATATGTCGACGGGTCATTTCTTGTTTCCGTCTTTATAAACTGCATTTGTTTCTTTTCTGATCTAAAATACTGAACAAAAAGTACTTTCATAAATATCTGAAACGGTTCGCGCCACTTATATTTTGTATTTCGACTAAAAAGAAGCTTTTAGCGGGTCTGACCAGTAGACTACACAAATTGCGCGCTTTCGGCACCGCAGGTCGCCCCCGTAGGTGGAGGAGGTTTCCACATCGTCCGGTTAAAATATAACGCACTGGTATTTAGTTACTCTCTCCGTGCCCGCTGCCTTGCCCGAACCCCAGTAGATTTGGAAACCGCAAAGAAGGTAGACGCTTAAATATGATTGCAGGGCCCCTTTAAGTAAAGAGGTATGCTACCAGAGGAGTGATTCTCGATAGATGTCAGTTAGAACCAGAAATTCTATAGGCTTGGCGTTTTCCATGACTGCAATTTATGTGGTTGCCACCAGAACTTGTGGAAAGTTCCAGATCTTCAATGGCTAAGGATGTATATCTAACAATTATATTCTGCAGATATTGAACAGGGAATTGCCATTATTACACAAATAATTACAATGCTCCGTGAAGTAATTCCACTAAAGAATAAAACTGAACATACCAACAGCCTCCTGTCAGCAGCTTCCATGAGTCTTGGTAGTTTCAAACCGCAACATGTCCTCTAGAAGTGGAGCATAAATGGCTCTGGTCTGTGCCTGGTCTGGTGCTCTAGCTGTCTGAGGGCCATGAGTCCACAGTCACTTGTGCCTTCGTTTCACCCCTCTATTCTTCTACACGGGCCACAAGCTGTAGTACCAGGCTTGCAGTAGAAAAGAAACTGAAGGTGTTAAAGATGCACTTCTGAAAAGACAAGGCACAAAAAAAAACCTCAACTACTTAGCTTGAAAGGTGCTAAAAAAGAAAATCATACAGATTTAATTAGAACAAAACTTTGAAGATTCATCTCAACCACCCAGGTATTGTGAACCTAGACTGATCTTGCAGCACAATAAGCCTCAGTCAAATTGCTGGAACCTCAGTCTGGTTTACAACCTAATAACTCGGCATCTTGCCTCAAAGCCAACTTTCAATTAACAGCTAATACATTAAACCCTGAAGATACAGCACCAATAAGAGATGAGCATGGTCATGACAGCCTGCTTGACTTACAGTGTCAAGTTAAGGGTTAATCAATGAAACTATTCTCCTATGCCCTTGAAAACTGTGGTCGAGACAAACGTTACAACCAAAAAGATACTTCAAGTAGCTGTCAGCATGCGCTGTACAAGCAGAAGTGTCAAGGGAAGGTTGAAAGGGCCACAGGAAAGCACTGGCTTCCCAAACCTTAGATCCGCCACCCGAAAAACACCCTACTTTCACAGGGGGGAGGGAGCTAGCCTTGCGGCTACAATTTCAGCTATCTGCTCACGTGATAGGGACAGTATACCCAACCTCGACATCAGATTGGACATAGTCTGAAGGTTCAGTTGACTGACTGCTTACAAAGCAAATTGCACGGACCAGAGGAGCCTGCTTTAGTATGTTGGTCAGCGACTGTGTGCTGAAAAATTAACAAATAGAGAAGAGTCATGCTAATGCAGTGCTTATATCTGTAGTGAGTTTGAAACAAAAAGATTATGCACGTAAAATGCTTTCAACAGGCTTGTGAATGTGCATTAAAAATTTGCATAAAGATGTTGGCCTGAACTAGGTTTCGGTCGGTGCTGCTTCGATTGCTCACAACTGATCTCATTCCAGGGGTAGTGATTAACAGAAATAAAACAGGCACAAAGGCTGTTTCACACACTTGCGACTGCTTCTGGCTGGAGAGGTTAAAAGACTGGCTTTAAACCTCTATAAATGCTTATGACTGCCGTGCCGGTTGTAGGCAGTTGCAAGTGTGTGAACCATGCCTGCTTTCTTCTGCAGTAATACACTGCACAAGGAAACTTATTGTATGTTTCTATAGTTGCAACACAAGAATGCGGTGAGACTGGAGTATTCAAGTTCTACTGCGGTGAATCACAGCTTGCTCTTCTATTTAGGCCTGCAAGAAGGATGTCCTGGGAATAATAACAACATCAAGCCTATACAAACAAAAACACCTACCTGCTTCCAATCATACTTTGAAAAGACCTTGTTTTTTAAGGCATGGCCAATAAAAGAAAAAGCTGATGGCCATAGAGAATCTTCTGTCACAGAAATAACACTACATACTGCCATATATGTCAGGATAGACCATATCCCAAATTAACCATGCACAAAAGAGAATGCTGAGAATGTATGAACATACACTGCATGTGCTGGTGTCTGCAAGCGAATCTGTTCAAAGGTAAAAATCTAAAATAAATAGCACATTGCACACACATTCCTCGAAACCCTATTTTGGTTTTTTGCCTCGAATCCTTTATGCAGAGAAGGCAAGCGTGTGCAGCATGTGTACCTACGTTTCCAGCATTCCCCTTGGTGCTTGGGTAATTAGCAAAAAGTCTATTGCTGAAGTTGTGGTTGCAACGAATGCTGTCAAAGCTACAGCTCCTGATGCAAATTTCTAAAAGGGCCATTAGAGGTAAGCACACATGTCAAAAAGTCGGTGAGGGGGGGGGGGGGCAACTTACCGGTGAAATTCCGCTGCCTCAAAGAATCATGACCACCTGTGACATCTTTGGGCGATAGTAGCTCCCGGGGGTGCTATTAGAAAATAAGATGGATTGTTAGGTACAAATCTTCTAATACTCAGAATTTAAAAAATAACTATCAATTTAGTACAGAACCCTCAGATGCGTCTGCTATATTGTCACGGGTGGTGACCAAAAACAATAGATGAACAGAAAGAAATAAACGTTTAATGTGGCGAACTTGTGCCAAAAAATAAAAGAGTACAAAAGATAATAACAGAGCGTCGCAGGCGTCGAAGTCGGCGAAACCGCAGGATCGAGCGCTGGGGCGAGACTGACTCGACAAGGTCGCGAGCGGCGTCTTATCTAGAGTGAGTCACTATCTCGAAGATTCGGCGGAGAAGGTTCGAGCGTAGCGCGCTCGGGGCGAGAATGAACACGCACTTTCTAGAACAACATAAGCGGGGATAAACGATAGAAGTTATGTCCGGAACAAGAATAAACGAGAAAGTTCTAGAAGTCCGTGACCCCTGCGCGCGGCAATATAAATGCTTGTGCAGCGAGAGCACATTCGAAAAATGCGACCTCCTGCTGAAAATAACAATGTATGTATGCTTTACATGCAGCATTTCTTTGCAGAGCTGGTGGTTGCATATCATCACTGTTTTTGAACTTCCACTTCTATGGTGCACAACCATGTGTTCTATGTTGAAAGAGAACACAGGGCTCTCAAACCAATAAGTGTTTTCACGACAATGTCATACCTACAAGTGTTCATTCTGTTGTTTGTTTGTTTTTTCCTGTTTTTATCTCTGAGACATATGATAGTTATCTCTTCGCTGTTTTTGTAGCTCGCTTTGTCAAGAAGATGAAAGAGAATACCTTGTCAAGCAAACAACTGTTGGCTTTTTGTCTGCCTCCCAGCATTTGTACTTGTACAGGTGCAAATAAAATGATTAATTGATTGATTGAACTAATACAAAACGGAAGTGCAACAATCTAATTCATTCCCTATAATCAAACAACAGAATTCACGTTTGAAAACAATACAGGTGCCTTCACTAAGGGAAGAGAAAGGTAAAATGTAGGCTTCAAAAAGCAAACATATTGTAGCCAATGGCGTCATGTCACTTGACACACAGCAGACTACTTCCCGCTGCATATGCTTAGCTGTTGGCATAGGCACATAGCCCCCTGCTTCTCTCATTCACCGTCCTGTCCCCCCTCCCTCTTTGTGTCATACCCTCATGGAGCTTTGAGAAGCAACTTGAAGCCAATATATATTTTGTTGCAAATTAAAAGCCTGGGTCATCTGTATTATATTTTATGTCCCTCTTTTCTTGCCCAGTTTTCTCGCTAGACTGGCCAGGCGACAATCAAATGCAGGCGCACTTACTGCTCCCTCTCTTAAATCTAGGCTCTCTCCGTCATCTCCGCCGGCATGTTGTCGTTAGCGCTCCGAACGTCTCTATCGGCATGCCACAACGGCTTCTCCGCGTGCAATGCGGTAAAGCTGCTTCCCAGATAAGGAGCGGAGAGCAGACAACGGCCTTTCCCGCATCTTCTACTGCCTGTTTTGGGTGCCTTCTTGGTCGTGACAGTAAAGTGCGGCGGTCTGAGACTTAGAACCAGTTGCACCAATGCAGCTTAACGCAAATCAGAGCTTAGCAGGGAACCTAAGCCGAGTTTTGGTTTTGTTCTGTTGCACCAAAATCACTTATCGCTAAACCTAGCACTAAACCATGCCTATCGTGAGCGCTCAACATCGGGTACTTTACTTGGTTGTTTCTTAATCCTGGATTTAAAACATGTCGGCTGGTTTGTGGCGGTCTACACGGTGGACGAAATTGGTTGTACAAAGTGTTTTAGGCTACAGCAGCGTGAGAGCCTCAACAGAATGACCTTCGATTGCGACAGATGCAAAATATTATGTGAAGTGTTTATCGACCCGTTTTCAAGTTGACTTTCCACTCTCAGTGTGTGTTAGCCCTAACCAGGGAAGGTATGCAGATGTGGGGCTCACGCACGGCTCACGTCCATCTTCCCATTGGTTTTTATTTCAGCGTGCTTATTCGTATGCAGTTATTTGCGCATATCTGTAACGTATGGCTATTTACAACCTTGTTTATCTTAGAGCGCAGCTCTTAGGCACCCGTTTCCGGCTTGAGTGGAGTCGGCGTAACCGCACGGTGCATTATGGGACACTACCCGTGATGCAATGCGCAGGGAGGAGGATGAGGGGGAGGGAAGGAAGGAGGAGGAGGGGGAGGGAAGGAAGGAGGAGGAGGGGGAAGAGAAGGAAGGAGGGGGGGAGAGAGGAGCTTGAAGGATGAGGTGAGGGGGAGGTGAAGGAGGATGAGGAGGAGGGGAGGAGTAGCAAGGAGGATGAGTGGGTAAGGAGGAGCAGGGAGAGGGGGTATACCCTCCCCTCAGTACCCTTCCCTCGTCTTCTTTAAGAGCTGTGCTCTAATTCGGCGTTACAGGGTGTTGTAAACGTCAGATTTTTACTTTCAACGCATTTCCTTTTTTTCCAATCGGCGCGTTGAATAGCGGCAGTGGACGATCTAGGCGATCAGCCGATTGTAGCCCCATTCTTCCGTTCTCATTAAATTGCGGTGAACAACGCATTTAGACAATAATGCGACGAAAAGGTTTTTTTTTTTTTTTTTTAGTGTTGGGACAATTTTTAAGAGAAGTTTCTTTGTCTCCCGAGTAAAGTCTTAGCTTCAAAAAACTGTGTCGTTCTACAGTCGAAACATATCTGGTGACCGCACTTTGTAGCGGCGACAAGAAATCATAACGACTAAGATGCGAGATTTGCTCAGCACTGTATTAGGGCAGGCTGTGGCGGGTGGTGCGAAGAGATGACTTTTCTCATAGACACAATGTGATGACCTAGTGTGAGTTTTCATACTTCAAAGACCGCCACCGCCTTACGTTCAACTAGGGAGACAGGCAGTGTACTGTGCCACAGCTCACACGCCATGCCCCTCTGGGTACAGATGTTACAACATGTTCTGCAGTACCGTAGAAGCTAATAATCGTTCAGTAATTGTATTTACACTTCGATATATTTAAATTGTTGTCAAAATTGAATACAATATTTACTTTTATTTTTGGGGTGCACTTTGTTGCAATGCATATAAGTTGTGTGGTGAAGTAGGCATCATGAAAATACCCAGTATTTCTGGTTTCTGGCTACACTTCGAAATTTTTTATACAAATATGTATGGTTAAATTATCCTTGGCAAGCAACTGAACCCCAGCTCTAGACTCAAGCCTTGCTTATTCCAGCATCTGCTCATCTAATTTCTTAAGGAAATAATTCAGGTACTATCAAAAACATGAAAGGCTTATGAAGGCTGATCGGGAATCTGAATGGTTTAGTTTGGAAAATCATGTAGGTCATAAATGACCTAAGCTTAATGTGATAATCCTAGTGTTGGTTTTTATGATTGAGATCTGAGGCAGAGCAGGTGAAATAGAAAAGAAACTTTGTACAATGTCTAGGTCTAAGGCACAGCTTGTATTTGTTTGCTAAAAGACAGAACTAACAGACACTTAGAAAAACCCTCAACACCTAGGCATAGAAATTGGAACAGCATAATAGAACCAGAGGAATGAAATGCACGACTGCCACAGAAAGATGGAACTTTACCAATCTGGGGAAACTTTACGTAACACTGACTATTTAAAATAAGTGAGAAACCAGACCGTAATGCAGCTTGCTTTTTGAACTAACCTAAAATTAACTATCTTCAATTTTATGAGCTAACAGAATAATGACCGATGCAGCACAAAGAAAGTCAGAAGGTCAAGTTATAAGGTTACATGTAAAGACCCCAAGTTAGCAGCCATGCTGCATATGGTAAGTTTTCTTTCTGCAGTGGAGACACAAACAGTCTAATTTCATAGCTGACTGATTCATCACTCTCTGAAGGCTAACAACCTATTTAATTTTGACTTTTATGACCATAATAAGGTCAAAGTAGGAAAGTTTTAACTTACACAAAGATATACCAGGTGTTTCTTTCAAAACTTAACAGATTTGTTTAAAAAGCCGTGAAAGTTACACTTCTGCGGTTTGTGCAGATGAGTTATAATGCCAGGGGGATAGAGTATTAGGGCTAATTGTAACGATCAGTCAGCTAATTATTTAAAATTCGTTAATTAACTTTTTAAATAATTAAAAATCGACACATAGTTCCAATTAGAAACTTGCTAAGCGCCATTGAAAACTACTAAATCAACTTTTTTTAGAACATAAAGCATGGGCAGCATTTTACGTCATTCTAATGAAGCGCTCAATTTGGATGTGTTTCTAGGTTTCGCTTACTTATCCGAGCACTCTCCGCGCCCGCAATCCTGTCCCCTCCCCCTCCCCTCCCTCCCTCCCTCTTCCCCCTCCTCCTCCTCCTCCTCCCCCGGTAGTCGCGGCGCAAAGCCACTCCCTCGCTTACCTTGTAGCATAGAGGGAAGTTGGGCGCAACTGTGTTGCACGTCTCAGCCACTGTCGAGCAGGACCGTGGGCGCAGAGATGCACTGCAATAACAAATCGAAACCTAGAAACGCGTCCAAATTGAGCGTTTTCATGGAACGCTGTAATATACAGCCCCTGCGTTATATCTTTCGAAAAAGAGTTGATATAGTGGCCTTAGGTGACGCTGAACAAGTTTCTAATTGGAACCACATGTCTATTTTCATTTATTAAAAAGTTAATTAATGAATTTTACTTAATTAGCCAACTGATCGTTACAATTAGCCCCCTATACTATGTTCCCTTGGCCGTATACCTCACCTGCGCAAAACCGCTTTAATGTAACTTTCATTTTTTAAAACAAAGCCACAAAGAGTGTCTTGGTGTAAATGCTATATGTATTCCGTTACTAAGATTGGCTCATGAAGTAAACTAAACAATGAATAAGTATGGTTGGAGCCAGAATGCAGACGTTACGAAGGATCCATGTCGTACGAGGGTGATTAAAAACTTATTTCACTTTGGTCAACTTACACCTTCTGTTGGCTGCACTGTCTTATCGGCACTTTTCATACAAGGTTGCTGTATCTCCAGTCACTGCTGTGCAGGCTTGAATCTGTTAAATCAGTTCAGTAGGGACTGAGGTGGTAGGAAGAATGGCTGTCCCATGCTTAATTTGTAGAAGTGAATCAGTCATCGTTCTCGTGATATGAAGGGGTGTCCAGTAATTCCATATATATGAATATACCGATATCCATAAAAAAAAAAACTTTGTGCACAGTATTATGGAAATGTAAATATTTTCTCGCAAAGAAATGCGTTTGAATGGATACAGAAGTTCTATGAAGAATGCACGAGTGGCAGTCATTAAGGAGCCAATGCCCATCCATTTCGACGACTGAGAATGACGTTGAGACACTTCCGCGAGAGGTGTTGAGACACTTCTGCAAGGCAATGGGGGATCTCCAGAGGAAACTCAAATGCTGAAGATAATCAGAGTATTGTCGTCGTCCCCATATCATAGTCAATCATTGGTCTTGAATGGTGCTATTATATTCGAGTTCTCTATTTTGTGACCACACTTGCCTCCAGATGGCTCCAACGTACTGAGAACTACCCCGGGATAGTCGTCAGCCTCCGATTGAAGTCAATAATTGGTCTTGAATGGTGCTATGACAACAAAGTTTCCTTTCTGGTGAGCCAACTTGCCTCCAGACATCTCTGCAATGATGAAAACTACCTCGGAATGGTCGTAGTCCTCCTATTGTAGCCAATTATTGGTCTTAGACGGTGCTATGACAACGAAGTTTCCTTTCCGGTGAGCCAACCTGCCTCCAGACGTCTCTGAAATGATGAAAACTACCTCGGAATGGTCGTCGCCCTTCAATTGTAGACAATAATTGGTCTTAGATGGTGCTATGACAACAAAGGTCCCTTTCCGGTGAGCCAACCTGCCTCCAGACGTCTCTGAAATGATGAAAACTACCTCGGAATGGTCGTCGTCCTCCAATTGTAGCCAATAATTGGTCTTGAACGGTGCTATGACAACGAATTTTGCTATCTGGTGAGCCAACTTGCCTCCAGACGTCTCTAAAGTGCTGAAAACTACCACTGGATGGTCGCTGTCCTTAAAATGTAAACTGAACTTTGAAAAAAAAAAATGTGGTCGTTAAAATTAATAAAAATCATTTGACAATTTTGTAATCCTGACTTGTTGCAAAGGGACAGATGCTTAAGGAACTATATCATGTAAAATTTACTGAAAGGACAGATATAAGGCCACTGCCATTCTGATTTCAAATGCAGCAGTGATAATAGGCACATTCAAGTCCCACTAAGTTTGTGCTTAGGTCTTGCACTTAGGTGTTTGCTGCTCCAAAACAGTGTTTTGGAGCAGCAAATGTGGCCTTTGGAGCGGCCAAGATAGTGTGTTTTGGAGCAGCAAAAGTGGCTTTTGGAGCAGCGAAAACAGTGTTTCGGAGCAGAAAAAGTGACTTTTGGAGCACACATTCTTAGAAAAATAAATATTTGTTTTAAATGCTGGACAAACGAAGGGCACTTTGTGTTGTGTTGTGATGCGACGTGTTTGGGCGGAATTCGCTGCTTGTGTTTTTGCTGCTGAGACATCCCACAAGTATACAGTGCTGTGAGCGTTGTCAAGCAATTCTGAAAAAAAAAAAACACTTGCTTTCGTTTTACTGGTTTTCAATGTGGCAGATCTTTATAAAAAGTAAGCAAACGTAAGACATTAGATTGCAAGCGTCCTGGATGGTGCGACTCGTGCAATCATGTTCACATGCACGTGAGGGCAACTTCGGCAGGCTTGCACCTAGACGTGCTTCGTCGCATGAGCAGAGACAACGGCTGTTCGACCGAAACCGAAACCATGCCACTCCGCTTTGTTGCCAACTGGTTCCCAAAATAATATACATGTACAAAATGTAACTGTCCAGCATACGACAATAAACAGTCCAGCGGTGCGTGCTTGCCAGGCCGGTGGGCGAGGTACAAGCTAAACACACCAAACAAAAAGGACCTGAGCGTATCGATGCAAGACATTGCGAGCCAGGGTCAAGAAGTTTTTGGAGCGCTTTGTGCAACGACTGAACTCGAGACAAACAAGCGTGCCGTGCCGGTTCAGCGTGCAGGCACTGCCTTCTTTGCTTTAGGTCACTTCTCATCATCAACATTCTTTCGCGGCAGATTTTTCACGTACCGGGGTCTTTCTCGGGAGAAAGCCCACCGAGAGAAACCTAGGTAATTATTATTTCGACACAGCAGTCATTGAGTTAAAGAGGGATTTTTATAGCAGCGTATGATTTAAACAAGAGCAGGAATGTCGATGCGTTTCAGTTTAGAAAGCATTATATCTGCAGCAAAGTGGGGACGGCAACACACGACGTCGCGCGACGAGAGTTACTTTGTGAGCTTTGTGAGCACAAAGTAACTCTTGCCACGTAAAAACGTGGTTTTGTTTCACAGCATGACGGCAAGTTTGGAACCCGACACACTAACGTCGGAGTGTCCGCGCACACGGCCGCGTCTATCACTAAAAAATTAAAAAAAAAAGAAAAAAAGACGCGAGATGAGATTCCCGAGACGACGAGAGTGCGAAACGCGAGATGGCGGGAAAAATCATGCAAGACCGCATAGACGATTGATGCAGGGTACTTTGTGTCGGGCAGTGTCTTGTGCCACCTAGCCAACGCATGCTCAATTACGGTTCTCAGTTTAGTTTCGTTTTTGAAAGGCGACCAAGATTGGTCCTTTTGCGCAGGTTTGGCTCAGATTAGCCATATTATGGCGAAATGTAGCAGGATGTAGCAGAGTTAGCCCCTTGGCGCAGAGTTTGGCACAATTGGTGCAGCAATCACATCACTGATGCTGGCAGCGCCAATTCCACAGAAATATTAGTAGTTGCACGGTGTTTAATTGGGGAAGACCTGTGTTTCGGAATTAGTTCAATTTGAAACAAATGCATAATCGTAAACATATAATTAAAACAGTGCAAACGAGCACAAAGACAAGTAAAAGAAGGCACAGAGACACAGCGCTGACTCATGACTTGCTCTCTTTTTCGTCTTCTTAAAACAAATCAACATAAAAAGACGTGAGTCAGCGCTCTATCTGTGTCCCTTCTTCTAATTGTCCTTGTGTTCGTTTGCGCTGTTTTAATTATGTTTTTTTATACACCATCGACTAGCTCACCTCAAAACATTACTGCAAATGCAAAAAATTCACCTTTCTTTTTACTCTTTTTTTTTTTTTTTTGAGATTGATTAGTGCTAAGTGGCGCATTTGGGTAAAGATTGAACTGTACTCGCGCTCCGGGGACCTGTAAAAAGGTATGAAAGCAGGAAATAAGCAATCCTATTTTTCCTTCAGTGTTTTCTTTTTCTTCTTTCTGTTAAACAAATTATTATTATTTGCAAAAAAAAAAAAACAAAAAAAAAACAGGAAGCTTTGCTACAGTTAGCGCATTAACATTGTGTGGTGCTTAGCTGGTGGGGTCAGTAATGTGGAAACGGACGGCGAGCAAACAATTTTCAAGGCGCAATTGCCGCCCCCCTCAAGCACACACACACACACAGATGTCCCAAACCTCCGCTGCCGCCGCGCCCGAAACCCACAACTTTTAACAGCCATCACATCTATCGTTGTGTACTCACAAACGCACAAATCATTCTTTAAAAAAAAAAAGAAAAGCTACAGTAACAAATGGCCAGGGACTTTTCAGGCATTCCCCCATCTAGTAGTGTTAAAAGTGTTCAGAAGACGTGTATTGTCTTGTGTTGAGATGATGAGGGCAGTGGCATAGGAAAGGGAAGGGTCTTTTTTTAATAATATTGTTTACTGGAAATGACTGATTTTCCTGCCCCCCCCCCCCCTTTTCCTATGCCACCGCATCTAGGCACAAGACAATACAGGGAAAAAATTGTAAACTGCTCTAGTTTTTTTTCTTTCGTCAATAAAAATATTTAACCCTAAAAAACAAATTACCGCCAGAACCTTTTTTTTTTTTTTTTTTGTGGGGGGGGGGGGGGGGGGGGTGTTGATGTGAGTGGGATGTCCCCGAGTGTTGGAGTGGGTAAAATATTACGAAGCGTCTCGTGTTACGTCCAACGTAACCCAAGTTAAGTCCAAATCTCCGCCTTTCCCATGATGATGATGATGATTAGGAGTTTATTGGCGCAGCAGCAACGAGGGCCATAATGCGCCAAACTTGATGTATTTAGAACATATTATAACAAAAGTTTACTTTGAGGCTACATATTTACAAATGGTATAAATATCCAGTTTGTTTTAAAAAGTCTAAGACACGGCTGAATGGAACTAAAGGTTTATCACCAAGCAAAAAAGAGGGATGAAATGGGAGATGATCCCTAAAAAGTTCCAGAAAACATGATTGACGGAGTGGTTGATGGGACGAACAATGCCACAAAATGTGCAACACGGTCAGAAGCTCTCCACAGTGTTCACATAGTGCAACATCCTCACCACAAAGCAGATACTGATGTGTCACACGGGAGTGACCTATTCTTAGACGGCATAGAAGAACCTCCACACGACGTTCCCTGTTGTAAGAGCTCTCCCAAACGCCCAGAACGGGCTTGATAATGTGAAGTTTGTTGTTGCTCTCTGTATCCCATTCAAGCTGCCATTTGAGAAAAATAGATTTCCTCAGAAGTGGTTTCAAGTCTTGGTAAGGTAAGCAATTGAATGTTATAGACGAGCCTTGGGCAGACACGGCCAATTTATCCGCCTCTTCATTGCCCAAAATCCCAACGTGGCTTGGCACCCAGCAGAACTTAATGTCCCGACCGCGTCGCAGGGCGCTATTGATCTTACCATGTAGATGTTGTGCAAGGCGGTTCTTTGTGGGCATCAGGGAGGACACAGCCAATAAGGCACTCTGCGAGTCGACAAAAATTACAGCTTTCATTATACTATTGTCGAGTATATGTTCGACCGCTAGTAAAATAGCATAAAGCTCTGCAGTGAAAATGCTTGCCCTAGAGTCAACTTGTGTGGCTTTGCTGTAGGAGGCGGAATAGAAAGCACACCCTACAAAAGACGACGATTTGGACCCATCTGTATAAAACTCCAGGTAGTCCG